ATACCTTGTATTATTCTAGGTATGTATTGCAACCTTTTCTAATTTACAGGCTTGAAACTGCCCCTATATTATTCCTCACATTTGTTTTTTCCCTTCTCAGCTGCTACCTATTGTGCTGTGATTTGCCTATTGATTATGCCAGATGCCCTTCCTGATGCAACCCTCCTCCTCATGTTTGGATTTGCATGAGCAACTCTCTGCTTACATTTGAAAGGACATACTTTTGAATCAGAAATTTACAACAGTGACAAGAATGTTCCAGTTCAGATGTATTTTTACATTATTTTGCATGGACTCACACTATACCCAGAATATAATTTAAAATCTGTTTCCTAACTACTCTTAGGTCCCAGGGGAATCCCGACTTATCAAGGCCATGATTGATTTTGCGCTGACAGGCTGATGACAGTGCTGTCTCATCCGCTTGTATATTACCCCAAAGATCCTCACACATATCTTTTCATTGCCCTGTGGTACAGTAAGCAGGCTCCCACCTCTCTACTTGGGGAGAAACACGGCGTTCGCGGGGTGCGGGTGGGGAGGTGGTCTCAGAATGGCGCGGCGCTAAAATGAGAAAGGGGGCACTGTGACTTAATCTGACAGAACTGAGCGATCTGTGTGGGATGTCTGCCTCAGGGAGAGAGAGAGCATAGAGAAGAAAAGAAAAAAGAAAGGGATCGGATGGATAAAGGGCCTCCGCATACAGAAAAAGCTCACGTAGAGATGGAAGACAGGCAAGGTCACCCACTGCCAGGTCGCCCTGACAAAGAAGGGCTTTACTTGTTAAAAAATATATTTACATTTAAAAATATAGATCCCCAGCGTTGCATGCGTTCAAATTCAGGTGCCATTTTTGTTTTTACAGCGTCTTTGAGTCAAGCCTTTGTGCCATCATTCACATCTCAAACCTGACTGTATTGCCTGGCCGACATCCCTCCCCTCCGCACGCTCTTATTGGATATGGCATGCTGGGTGACCCTATCCACCCCTGTCACTCAAGCCTGATGAGCGAATCGGGAGCTGCATATTGGGCGAAACAAGGAAGTAAAGAGAAATTGATGTTGAGTTGAGGAAGCATCGCTAACCCAGATCCTAACAGGCACTAACCTAAACTAATAAAGTGAGAAGGAGCCCTAATGACCACCTACACGCTGCAGATTTTGTATAGTGCGGTGGTCTAGCTACTTTATTTGAGCAATGATAATGATTTTTTAACATTCTATCAATCAAATAGGGATCTCAAATTTATCATGCCCCTTTTGTCACCGCGTGCACCCATGGCCGTTCATAGCCATGCTTTGTACCTGTCAAGTGCTGTCCTCTTCCCTGTGCCCAAAGCTGTGCGTACCACATGAGAGCCCTCACATCAAAGCTAACGGCGAGCTGCACGCAAACAGATGAAACACCCTCTCAGTCCGGCCGCCTTGCTCCCTGCTCCTCCTTTACATTAGACACATTTCATTTCATTACAACACCACTGGATAAAGAGAAGAACACTGTCTTAAAGGGATGTCTTATTTACACTTCCTTACTCTATTTGAATGATGCATGAAAAGTAGCCTTATAAGGTGCAGGGATGTTTATAGTTAACACTTAATGACAGTTTAATCTAGAGAACAAAGGACTATTTGGACTTTTTTTTTCTTTTAATTTTGGAAGGTGATTTTATTTTGCCTTTATGACATGCCAAAAAAAGTATATTGATAAGCAACTCTAAATTGCTATTATCATTATTGAACATTCAATCTATTACAAATTTCCATATATGTCATTTCACCCATCCATATGTATTGGATTAGAGGTTTTTAATATTTTAATTATTGAGTCAGTACTGACTAAGGCTTCATTTCGACCCTGACACAACACTGGTTTCCGTAGCATCGGCATCCTTTGTTGTGTTATCTGGTGCACGACAGGCTGACAAAGACAAGCTAGGGATCGTCCGGAGCGAGGTGAGGGGTCGCAGTACCCCCTTTCTGAGGGGATGGGGCGACCCTCTTGACCGCTGGCCCTGGGGCAGGAGCTCAGTGTGGTGGTGGCACAGGGCACCACAGGGCATGGGAAGAGGCTGAGCCAAAGCTCTACAGCAGAGGACCAAATCAGATCTGCGTGTGTCTTATTTAAAACAGTGTGTGCACAGGACAAAGGCATACAGCCCAGAGTGTGCAATGGCTGTGCTAGAGATTTAGCTGTATAAAGGAGAGTGACCTAGGATTGCAACCTGCATTTGTATAAGATTGAGACAGACTTTGACAGCACATCACAGCACAATGATCAGATTTAGTCAATGTATTCCATTTTTGGGTCCATCTGCCAGTGTGTCTGTAGGCAAGACGAAACAGTTAGCTTTAGATAAAAAGACCACATGACCTAAGTCAAGGGTTATAGACAAGAGACTTGGCATTCTCTATGGGAAACTCCCAATTCTAAAATTTTAATTTGGTTGAGCGGGACCATTTGCTTTAATATAGTTTTACTAGAGGTGATTTAGCAAAGATATATCAAACACTATTACCCCAGTAAACTATACATGGATGAAACCAGATCATGACCTACTGTTTTGTGTTTGTTTGACAGAGAGGGGATTGAGTGAAGGAAACGCCTGGACTGGGAGCAGCAGTGTTAGCCTGACACCACACAGACCTCTCAGTGTTAGATTAAATGATGGTTTCCGACTCGGAGTTGAACTTTGAGGCCCTGCTCCTCATGACCAAGCAGCACTGTTTGCCTGAGCAGCAATGTCCTTCTGGGTGACTGGACAGCTCAAAGGGTGTTGGCTATATTTGGGCTATCAGCATTGAAAAAAGGCTATAGGCCAGTAAGGGTTAGGATTCCCAAGTTAAAGGCTAGGAACTGGACCAGTTGGGGTTAGAATCAGTGTTCTTAAGGCCAGGAAGCGTAACGGATGGCTTTGAGGTGGAGTAATATTGCTAAGGAGTATGTGTAGTTGTATCACACTTTGGGTTTGCATGAGCGGTCACCTGTGTTCCTGGACTATTAACTTTTGACCATGTTATCCAGAAACTAAGGACAAGATGGTGCTCCGATTCAAAAGTGAGTTCACGTATTTCTTACTTTTCTGTTATGTTGTCATAGTTTCAGTACTTTGATTTCAAAGTCTACGTATAGTTTACAGAACAAATTGTAGGTACTGTATGTTGTTATCACAGGCAAGGCTGGACCTGGCAGTTATTTTATCAGGCTACCACCAGTGGGCAGTGGCACAAAGCTGGTATGAACCTGGATTTTCTGAGTTTATATACTGTCTGCAAACCTTTTTGTATATTCAACTGAGTATTTTCTTTGATTGAGTTTGCATAAAAACATGCATTTAAATTACCAAAAAAGTACTCTGATATATACAGTTGGTTTTAGAATTTATTACTGCTCGTGTTGCACTAGTAGTTATCAGATATCCATAAATATGTCTATGTATGCTGTTTTCACTTACTAATTAATGCTTATATTATTTTTGTCAAATGTTAAGTTGTATATGCATGCAGAGAGGGACGAGTAGTCATGTCTGAATTTGAAAGCAAGTGAGAATCCGGCTGATTTGATAATCTAAATAAGTGAGAAAGTGTCATGTTGCTGTTGTCAACACACGGCAGGTGCTAAGGAAAGGGCTGTGTGAAAGGTTTGATGGTGATGGGCGCAGGAGGACTCCAGGCAAGCACATTGTGTTAACACTTATTAAGGAAGAGATGATGCTGAGCGAGGCTACAACTCTGTTTCATCTATTACTCTCCTTAAGGTGTTTATTCCACTCTCCTATTTCTCATTATACTCGATCTGCATATGTGTGAATATTTTGTCCAAGAGGATCAAAACGCACAATATGTAATAATTTTATTTTAGAGGTGCAATGTAATATTTGTACTATTTTAATATTTTAGGTTGAGGAATGTATAGCGCAAAAACACACCATGAGCTTGCAAGTACTGTGTCACATATCTTTATTTTGTTGTCAAAATCAAAACATGATCTCTAAATCTGGTTATATAATTTGAAATATTTGTAATTTATCTCCAACTTTTAACAAAACAATGACAGTCACCTTTGTTGTTTAGTTTTTCTTTTTTTTCTTTCTTTTTTTTTTTTTTAACAGGGATCATATAAACACTTTAATCTCATAAAAGAAGAGATGCTTTACACAAGATTAAGCCAAAGCCAGTTTCCATCTGCTGTCCCTGAGCAGGTTAACAAACACAAGTAAAATACATCCAAATATGCATTCATTTACAATCAAACCGTGCCTTCTCTCACTTTCATATAGTTAATTTGGAAGTCATAACATTATTCTGTGACATTTAGTTTTTTACAATACATATGAATGGTGTATTTGCTTATGTGACAACAATTAATATACTGTGTTGCGTAACTTTAAATCTGAAGCGTTGTGTGTCCGTGTGTAGTCACAATAGAGTTTATGTGAGTAGCATGGCCAGAGTGCAACAGGAATCCTTCCATTTCCTGCTTTAGTTTGCGAGTGCTTGGGACAATAAGCACAGTTAATTAAAAGTCTACATAGTCTTGATGAAAACTTCCTTTTATTCAGCACATTTCCTCTGCCTTATTTATTATGTTAACCTTTCATTGTTAATAAATATCTGAACATGTTCTGATGTGAAAATGGAAAAAAAAGTCTATATTTTGTAGGTTTATGACTTAGAATTACTTCGACACAAATGTATATTGTTGCCTTTACACAGGGTGATGGAAAAATCAATTGAATTCTATATTAAGTGACATGTGCCCTTTCAACTAAATGCTCACTGCTCTGGCTGATACTACCAAGAGTGAATTCCAACTCTCCCTGAAATTCCACTACTCTGTCCTCCTCACCTTTATCTATCAACATGTTTACTATTACTACACCTTCAAATATTTGTGGTAAATTAACTTAATTAACAAAGACGTGTATTTTCCATTTGTGTTGTGAAAAAAAAAAAAAATTACAAAAATACACCTTTTTCAAATGTTTTTATATTGTTTTGCAGGAAGGCTATGGCGTAATGGTGCTAAACCCCAATGAAAACTACCTTGAGATTGAGAAACCAGATAGATCTTCCCCTCTTGGCTCCCAGGACGAACTACTGGATGAGCCAGCTGAAAAGAAGGAACGCAAAGATGACAAAGAGGGCAGCAAGAAGAAAGAATTTTACGAGAAGTACCGCAACCCACAGAAGGAGGCTGAGATGGAGCGCATCCCTGTACGAGTAAGTCAACACAAGACGACAGCTCTGCACAGACAGGGAGATGAGGAGGGACATGTTTGACTGGGACGTAGAGGCAGAGCGATGGGTGTTCATCATAAGCAGACATGATGGGGGAGGAGGACAGACTGACAGTTAAAGGGTGTAGGAGGAGAAGACGCCAAGGCATAGGTGAGAAAATGGGAGGTATGATTTTGGACAAGTTTGATAAAAGAGGCAAGAATGTGATGAAAGAAGTAGGATGTGAGGTAAGAGAGGAGGCAGGAGAGGGAATCGTTAGGTAATGAGGACTGGAGGATGGGATTCTGAGGGAGAAGAGAGGCTCTTGTGTGGTCAGCCTGTGTGTGAAGAGGTTGGCTGGGCTCCAGTCGCCTCTCAGTGAGCAAGTGTTAACCACATGGCTCTCTCCCTCATTTCCTCCCTCTCCTTCGCGCTCTCATATGGTGGGCTGGTCAGTGCAGCTTTGGCCCTTCACTCGTGTTGACCGCTGGGATTATTATCTCCCGAACGCACACTCGGCAAACACACAGCAGCATTCTTATCATACTCGAATGGGCACACACACCCCAATCACACACTCGTGCACACACCTGATTCCTAACTTAATAATATGCCTACACAATGAACTCTCTTCTTTACATGCATACATTTTTAACCAATGGCATTCCTTCATTATTAGCTTACTGAAAGTTATTTTGATCGATTCATTCATGTTTGAGTAGTCCTGCATTGTCTTGTATTTGCGGCATCAGTGCAAATTTTCATGTATGCCCACCCACAGCCCTGCACTGCTTGTGTGTTTGAATTGTACACCAATGTTCCAAAAATTGCACAGATCAATATTGCAGTTTACAATTAACAAACTGTAAAATAACCATAATAATCTATGTGATTTTTTTTTTTTTTTTTAAGTTAATTGCTTAATCGTAAATCTTAATACAGTATGTTTTTTTTTTTTAATAAAGAGTAGTTAAGTCATTACTGTTTTGTGAATCTGTCAGACACTGCATTTATTAAAATGCTTATTATCATTTTTAGTCAAAAAACACTCACCCATGTGTGTGTGAAAAAGATGAATCATTGATAAGAGTTTGTGGGACAGTCACTTTGTAGCTGTCAGCAGAGGGTTTTTCTCACTTTCTTGACAGTACCTTCACACAAAAACCATAATAAGGCAAAAATGCCTGTGTATAAATATTACCTTGGGCATTCCACAATACAACTAGTCCTAGCTTATAGTACTTTATGATTATTTATAAATTATTTTCTGACCATATATATTTTAGTGGTCCCACTTTCACATTCACATTAATAGTAAATTATTACATACTTTTAATTTTTTTTTGTTTATTTTAAATAGATGTGCAGTTTTATTACCTAAAGAATGAACCTAATAATTGTCCTATCCTGTTATGTAAGTGTAAGAAATACAGTGAAACTTGTTTTTAATGATGATGTATAATTGTATACCAGTATAAATATTTCTCTTTGAGTTTCACGGGTGTGGACTCTGAGGTTGGACCTTGAGGTTTCCAGAGGAACACACATGTCCTCAGATGCAGGGATTGCAGATTGTGGATAAAGATTAATGGTTGAGGGCTTCGGCTCTGTGTCGGTGCCACTTGAATTTTGACCTTTGACCCCAGAGTCAGCAGGATGCATGTGTGTTTGACCTCGCCTCCTCCTTCATGGCTTTACTTTACTCTGCTCTGCCTCTGTCCAGAGCGCGGTAATCTGTCACGCTCACACACACATAAGCGTATACACGGTGATGGACTAGGGCACAGAGAGTCACAAAAGAAGCAGGTACAAAAAGAGCTGAGGTTTTAGTGTGGGTGTGGGTGCCCGTGTGCCATTCTCCTTCACCTTTGTTGGACCGGCTGGGTGGTGGATCAAATCAAACCTCTTTAGCCAGCCTGTTTTCATCTTTTTTAAAGCACCCAGCCAGGCTCGCAAAGCGCTCTTGCAAAGGCACACATGAACAAGGCTTTCTCTTCTATACACCTCACAGTCTTAACTCCTGCTGAGATGCTAGACCACCTGCACGCTGCTATTCAGATACACACATTCTAGCATACTTCAAGCATTCATCACGTAATAGAGATTGAATAATTGGAAAATACTCTCTAGTTCGAATTCACAGGGTAAAAACAGTTATATGGAAAAGCATTGGGTAGCCTCACTTTATTATAACTGTCTAATAGAGATGTGTTGATTAATACGCTTCCTTGCACACATTAATAAGCTCTTAACTGCTTTTAGGATTGGTACATTTTAGCCTTGGGTCCATAGTGCGCAACCTTTCAACCTTATCTAATCCTCCTCCTCCCGATCACACCCCAGTGCACCATGTTTAGAGGGGTGCTAGTTCAGGCCTGAGCAGACAGCAAGAGGGTTTGGGGGGTATAAAGTGAACGCAGGGATGCTGATGTGGATAACCGTGGGGTAAAATGGGTGTGGGAGGGTGCATTCTTCGCACTTTGCCATATAGAAGTTTGGGAGTTCACTTTACTCTGAATTTTAGCAGTAATCCAGTTAGCTATTTTCTGTCAGCCAAGCGGAGGAATGGCAGGAACAAAAGCCACATTCATGGGCTTAAGAAGCTTCCAAAGAGTTCACCCAAGGCTGGCTGGCTGGGATTAGGCCAGCAGGCCCTGGAAAGAAGAAGGGGAAAAAGAGCAAACGGGGAAAAAGCACTGCTTTTCCTCCCTTTAATTACAACATATTAAAGTTTGGGTGCAAATTTTAATCCTAAATTAGTCTTAATATTTGTGCAGGCTTAATTATTAAGAATATTAGAATAATTTCTTTATGCACACAATATTTCATTTTGCTCTATGGTTGTGTCCAATAAAGTAGAATATATTAAGATGTATTGCACCATACTGTGTTTCCAAAGTAAAGCAGCATCTATTATGTTGGCCCAGTGGTTGCAGGACCAGTTATTCCCAGCCGCAGTTGTCCACTGGGGCAGCAGCCTCAGAGTCTTGTCCTTGTCTGTTTTTAGCAGTGATGTCCTGTTTTCCCAGTGTACTACAAACTGCCCTGAGGATCCACAAACATGCACACTCACATACTCCCACATTCTGATAGTGAACATTAAGACATGGACATACACAGGGCTAATTGCATTCAACATGGTGCAACAGTGTTTCCCTCAGGGAGAAGGTTCCTGCTCTTTGTCACCTTCACCCCTTTTGCCCCAATCTGTAGCCCACATGCAATTATACAGACAGGATTTCTTTGGCCTGCGACCTGTTGTCGTGCCAGGATGTACGGCTCAGCATATCCAAGGACAGGTAGGGACTTGATTAACCTTTGAACTTGGTCAAAGGAGAGGTCAATGACCAGGGCCGGGGGGCAGCACCACCTGCATGGTGCTGAAAACAAATTGACTTAATGCACTCCTTTCACTATCTCTTCAGTACGTACACTCCTTTTGTTCATTTATTAGCTTTAACCTTTGTGTATTGCATTTTATTTGAGTAGGTGTTATTTACAGAAAATATATATTTTTAGTTTTTGTGAGTATGTGCTGTGTGTGTTAATTGCACGAACATCTGTTTGTGTCCATGTGATTGTGTGTTTGCTCTAGGCAGAAGCATTGCCGCTCTAGTCTCAGATCCCTGCTCCCAATCTTCTAGTCAGGTCAACCATCAAACACATCCATCCTGCCCTCCCTTGTACCTCCTGCACACTGAGCCGCCTCAGTCTTAGCCGGCACACAGACCTGCTGTAGATACAGACTGACCCGAATAGAGACATACGCACACAGACGCACACCTCCACACACACACAACCAGCACCTCAGGGTCATCCTGGAACAAACAGCGCCTTGTCTGCTTGCCCGCTCTCCTTTGCCTTATGTCAATTAATGGCTTGCAGTAATTTCACCTGACAATCCGGGCGGCAGTGCGAGTCTAGCCGAGATGTCACAGCGATGACCTCTCTGGCCCGGAGCCGCTCTTTTCTAATAAAGAATCTCACAAACCCACAGCAACTTCCTTTGTACTTTGTTAATGAGTTATTGATTTGAAACAATGCCTTGGCAAATATTGTCAGAGCAGGCTGACCCCACCAAGGTCATGCTTTTTTATTGTATACAGTCCGAGCACGCTAATCTGCACGTGCGGATGGCTAGTTTCCATGCTGGCTCTCCCACACTGGCTGTATGTTCCCCTATTGAAAAGTTGAATAGCACACCTACACATTTTTCCCTGCAGGTCTCTACCACTCCCTCACCGCGTACGCACTATCCCCCCTCTTGTTAGTCTTGCACACATTTTCACCTCATTCTCCCTTTTCTCTGTCTCTTTCTCACATCATTATATTCCCAACTCTCCATAGGCACTATACCTGCTAATTACCCACAATGCTATAGTCATTATTTTCCCATCTCTGTCGCTAATTTGCTCCATACCTTCCTTATCCCCCTTACTATCCAGGGCCATCAGCGCTCAGACAGCTTCTAGGTAACTTCAGCGGTGTCTCTCTTTGTGCCTTGAAAAGAATAAGACAAAACTGAAGAAGAAAGTCAAAAGCACATATACACATCGACAGAAATGAAATTATAAAGTGATGTCACTAAAGTCAAGCTTTAATTCGGTTTGTCACAACAACAAACTCATTTATATCAATTATCATTTGGCTTTATTAATGAGTGTATGTTTATTATTTAATCATTAGACTAACTGAATGACAGCAGAGAGTAATCAAAGCATATTAAAAGGAATTATTCCAGGGGCTGGGAAGCTGAAGTGACTCACTGGTCAGGTGGGGGATTGGTTAAAAAAAAAGACCAAAAATGAATTTAATGTGATGTGAATGTAAGTTAAGTTAAGGTACATGTAAATGTACATGTAAAACATGTAAATTTCCAGTGTGTGGAGTGTCTGTCACCTACTTCCCCCCAGGGGATGTTTTTGCTTTTCTTTGGAAGGTTCCACCTATCTTGCATGTATTCAATTACTGATGTTGCTATTAGTGAAAAACATACATTCTAACTGTGAGATCCATAGATCTGACCTGTAACTTGTCCTGATGGTGTCGCCTGCTTGTCTTGCTTGTGGAAATAGATCAGTTTAACGCCATTCTGTGGAATCTTTCAGCAATAACAATAACTTCACTATGGAGATAAGCAGGTGATGAACTCTACTCCTGAAAAGTTACATTGTGCAACGTTTAGGGGAGCCACTAAAGGAAGTGACAAGTCAAACTAAAATCTTTCTTTTGTAGCCCTAATGCTGCGGTGTCCCATCTTAGTTGAATACTTTTGAAACCGTGCAACACTCATCTTCATAAACGGTCTCTATGCCAGTTCTGCTCTCCTCCACTTCCGGTCCAAAACTGGTTCTTGACATTTCCCATCTGTGATCCAGCAACAGTATGGGCAGTTCCTGAAGTCTGTTTGTGTTTTAGAGGACTGAGCGGGAGGAGCTGAGGGGAGGAGCAGGGAGGTCTAAAGGACTTGTTTGTCAGGTTGTGTTGACGCTGTTAGATTCATTGTTTCCTGCAGTGGTCAGACATTAGGTTTGTGTTGGCCTTAAGACTGTTATTCTGGCTACAACACGGTCTCCCTCTTCACTGTCTGTACTGCCTCTTATTACACTGAATAAACATTAGACCGATTGGAAGAGACAGATTTGTACTCTCTGGATAGTCTATGTTTTTGTCGTCAAGGAAAGAGTACAAAACATAATTAAAAGCACTGCAACTAGAAAATATTATGGATAAATGAGAACCACTGCAGTTTAAACTCTGGCTAACTGTTACTAAACTTGCAAATAAAGTTCATGGTCCATGCATTTTAGTGAAAAGGCAAAGCACTAATTGCTGTTAATCTGAAGTGAAAGGAGTTATACATTTTTTCTAAATTATGATGAGGACATTTGAGAAGAGATGTGTACTCCAAATAAGTGGCTATGATTGGATCCCCGACCCTTCTGCTTTCAAACTGGATTGCAATAGTGATTGTCAGTCACAAATTTAGTAGTTTAGTTGAAAATTACAACTTTAAATATTAGTAAAACTTTTATATAAAATATAAACAAATGGTATTCATTCATATTATCTTTTTTATGCCCTAACATGTAACCTTCAAACTCTCTATTAATTCAACTTGCCAAAGCTGCTCTGTAGTTATTGTTCTATAATTTTCTTCCCTCTTATGGTTTGCACACCTTTTAATTCATTCTTTAATTTTAATAAGCTGTCTGCTGCTGCTGGAATGTGTCCAGTCCTGAAGGGGTCCAATTCCAATTTTTACATTGCACCAAGGGGACATTATGGACCTCTTTATACTCAATAAACCTCCAATCACAAGCAGCGCACACCCTCAAATGTCCCGTGACAGTCATGGCTGAAGGATGCTGGCAACAGGTGTGGAGCTGGGACACTGTTGTGACAAAGCTGGCAGACAGATCCACACAGAAACAGTGTGAAAAATAAACTAGGTTAGATGCTGTGCGAAGAGTGGTGACAGATATACTAGTCTCACAGGGTAGGAAGCTCCAGCGCAGCTAATTAACCCCAGGAAATAATTGCAACTGTTTGCAAATGGTGTGCAGGTAATTTACTGTGCCACCATACCAGGAAGTGTGTCAGTCATTCTGCCACCTGTTCCCAAAAGTTTTGCCAGAATTCAGTGGTAACAAAATCTTCATCGGTGTCTACTCCAATGTGTTGTTTTAGTCATTGGGGTGATGGCAGAGGTCTGAGTGTTACCACACACGGATGCCCACAATCTGTTTCTGAATATTTTGAGTTTGAGTTCATGAGTCCTCTGGCACTGGGCTCAGGAACACTTCATAACACCTGTCACTTTAAATAACTCACGTCAACAAGCTTCATCTATTTACACTAGTTTTGCACTCTTCCGTTCATCTGCACTGTGTATTTTGTATTTGTAGCCAGTCAAAGTTTATTTTATTTCTAATGCCTTATTTGATGCCTCTACATTATTTTATGTAGCACAGTAATGGCGAAGCACATTCCTAGTTTGTGAATTTTGCTCATTGACAATGGCAATAAAGCTTTTGTTTCAGTGTGGTATTAAACTTTCTTTACCTTTCTCCATAGAGACAAACAGGAGATACCACTAAGGCAAGTTGTGTGTGTGTGTGCGTGTATATATAAATATAAATATATATAAATATATATAAAAAAATTTAATAATTGCTAGCCAGATTAGTTAATACCATGTTATGGAACATTTGGACACACAATAACAGCTCCATGGAAACAAGCAAGTGGCGAACCCTGCAAGCCCTTAAACATAAACGCCATATGTGTTTTTATTTGGCCCAGTTAATGATTATATATGTATGTCTCCCTTATGATGGAGGCTGTGGTCTAATGCAGTATGTTCTGTTGACATAGAGGTTAGACGAGGGAGACTTCAAAGCTCTTTGATGTCACAGCCTTTCAGACAGACAGTTCAGCCACACTGCACCCCCCCCCCCCCCCACACACACACACACACACACACACATGCACCACACATATTCACACACATACACATACACACAGAGGCCTGTGCACAGGAGGGGCAGGGCAGAGCCAAGTTGCCAGCTCTTGCATCACACTCCATGGAGGTGGTGGTTGCTGACACTACAACCCTTTCATGCTAATCTCGCAGTAAACACAAACACTCTGACAGGTTAATTTACCTCTAGACAAACATGGCAACAAAAACACACATCAGCACATAATCAAACGCTACAACTGTGTGCACACTTGCATACAGGAACACTCCATTACAATTATTTATGAATGACAAGATTTTTTAAAGGGTTAAATGTGTGAGTAATGTGTGGTTTTCTTAAAATTTTGTCATCACTAAAGCTTAACCACATTCACGGTCTTTGATAGTGCACCCTTCAAAATAAACAAACAAAAAACTAGCAAGTATGTCTCATATCCTCCTCTGTCTTATTAATTAATTCATTCATTCATTCATTTCAGTCACACAAAACAATAGCTTGTTGATTAACTGAGCTCACATTCTTCACACTGTGAAATATTGTATGCAGAAGATAAATTTTTATAAACAAAGTAATAATGTATGTTGTAGGAATTTGATGCCAAAATGATGGATTCAGACATTCTTTAGGGTTATGCTCTTATGATGGGATGTAAGTTGAGATAGACCACTATATCGGGCTGCTATTTGGACTTTTTAGCGTATTGGTTATCGGCCTTAAATCTCCAGCACAGGCCGATATTTTGTTTTGGTCAGTCTGCTACCTAAATAATACACACAAATCTTTAACACTTGTACGAAAAGATAACTGCATGGCTCTTTTAAAGGTCTGTAGTTTTGTTTTTTGTTTTTTTAAAAGGGGGGCTGTGGGTGAGTTTGTAGTCATTTTAAATTGCATAATTTGGAGAAAATAATAAAAATCTGCAGATTATGGGTAAAGCTTATTAGCCATCAGCTGCTCCATATTGTAAACAATCTGTATCAGTATTGACCATGAAAAATCTCATATTGGTCAAACTCTAGATGTAAGGTGACAAAAAAGATGTGTGTTTAGTGTGATACAATACATTTTGGTGAATTGTAATTCATGAAGTGTTCAAATCTTTCCCTTACACCTTACTGTGTCTGTACAATATTGTATGTAAATGTAAATAACTTTTCTCTGTGTTGTAAGCTTGTAATGGGGTGATTGTGTTGTGAAAAGACATGTTTCAGTACTACTTGGTTGTAATAACTCAGGTGCATCTAGTCAACAGTGAGGTCCTGTGTACAGTGTAACCTCTTGTGGGAATGTGTGTTTGATTTCTATTGTAAACCAGACAGCTTGAAAGGAAATCAAAGTCTAGAATCAATGTCACAAGTTCATTAACGGATGCCCTTTTCATGGCTGCACTTTTGCTATTGTTCTGCGAGCCTTGGCTAAGTGCTTACCTGTGTGCTTAATTAAACATGTCTCCTGGCCATGCTGGTGTGTGTGTGTGTATCTGGCGGGCAGAGTTGGAGATTGAGGACATATGCAGATGCGACTGTTTGTGTGTCTCAGTGCTGTTGTTTTTTCCTTTGACCTTCCACTCGTGTGTTCCCATTATGCCTCCTCTGGCGTATAGATGGGCCATCGATTCAGCAACAGGGTACAAATTAAGATTTAAACGTTACGTCACCTCGCCTATTGAGTTTTACATTTGGGGCATTTGCAATATGCAAGCCTTATTGATTACCCAGACCAAGGCTGTTTATGGAAATCACCTCTGGCCACAGCTATTTTCATTCTTTCATTTAAGTCTGTTTTTTTATTTGTGATGACCCCCAGGTGGGAGTTCACACCTGTAGTCTTATAGCTTGACATCTCTCTTATTACACTTCACCTTTGTGCATGCCTTATAGCTAGTGGGGCTTGCAGGTATGTAGCCAACTTTGGGCCATAAGGGGATATTCATTCTGATCCATTTGATAACTATACTTGTTCATATGTATTCTATAAATATGTATAATTTTCAGTTGCCTTGTTTCATTGTTTTGCAGGATAATGGCTCTTCTGAGGACCATGTGCTCTATGTGTGGGACCACTTTGTGTCCAGAGCTGCAGCCAAGAATGTCTTCATCATTGCCCACAGCTATGGAGGCCTTTCATTCGTTGAGCTGGTGAGTGATTAGCTTTTCCGTTTGTCCTTTTTATCCCCCATATGACAGGAAATAAGTTGAAACAGAACATTTGTCCAATAAGTCAGTGGTAAAGGTTTGCCTCTTACATTCACTTACATGTAACACAGAGGCAGATCCAAAAGACAGGCAGCCAAGTGAAGTGTCCATTAATTATTGATGACATTTAATTTTTGCTAGTTTTATGAAAAGTGATTCCTAAACAAACTAGCTTAAGTCCTGGGGCACTCTCCTCCTTCCACACCCATCATGAAAGGAGGTAAAAGTGCTTACACACAGGGTGGATGACACTTCTCTCTGCAATATTGTCTATACACATTTTCTACAGGAGCTAGCTGGTATTAATGCTTAAATGTAAGAGGGGTTTTGATATTTATACTTAGTCAAATGCAGCGTCTGTCAAAGAATTGTGCACTTTATGAAAATATTGACTATTTCAGCTTCAGTTTATGATCTAAACTCTCTGCTTTTGTCTCTTACCTGGTCCCAATACAGTAATTTACAATCACTATAACGTACAATGTAGGGCGTATTTGTTTCTATTTCTATCAGGGAGGTGCAGTACAATAACAACTAGAAGGAAGCTTAAGGTGGCCACTTGTCCCAGTGGTGTTTTCAGGAATATTTTATTTCCTTTCTTCCACCTACTCTTTTTTGTTTACTATTTTGTAATTTTAATTTGCCTGCTAAATATTCATGCAGTGTTTTGTCCGTGACAGCTCCACAATCTCCAGGGCTTTCTTGCTGTGTGACGAAGACTATCTACTCCTTCTATTTGTATCTTTTTGACTGCTTCTGTTTCCTACAGTTAGAGTTTTTCTTCTTTGTCATGTGGTACATGATATCAGTACATCCATTTAATGTGGATTTAAACATATACTGTACATCTGTGACTGGGTAGTTAAATTTATCATATTTTCCATGTAGTCCAGTAACCGAAATCCACAGGCCTCTGTATCTTTGACACCAATTGTACAGAAAGAGGAGTGTGTTTGGAAGGACATGCTGTATAAAAGAGAAAACTAAATGTAATGTAGGCCTTTTGACAGAGTAGTTTTGTTATAATGATACCCCAAAAACAGAGTAATATCATAATCAAAGTATTTAGTGTCTGATATGTGAACATTGAATTTTATCCACATACTTTGGTCAGCTCTTTCTGTGATTGATTTTTCTTTGTATAAAAAGTCATGTTTATCAATTGGTATGTTGTAACTGCATGATGACTCCGTGTGACACTGAGCATATACACTTATTAGAGTCCATGACACAAGCAGAAATATGCACTCACTATCTACTTAATTGTGGAGAAAGTAGTCCAGAGGGACAGCTCTGGAGCGTGTGTGCGCATGAGCAGGAGACTGGAGCCTTGCGGGATGAACCATTTGACACATGAGAAGACCCAGAGAAAACAAGCTGTCTGTGGGTTAATTACTACTCCCCTTTGCAGTTAATAAATACATTTCTGATCAAGCACATCAAAAAGGCCAGCCATTAATTTTTCCTGCTCGCTCCCCTTGCTCCAGAGCATGTTAGCCCCGGTTTGGAGCACTCAAGTGTTTCATTGCAATTTGATTTCTTTTAAAACACTTCACAGTGTGTACTGACTAATTATAGATACATCAAAGAGGAGCTAACTGCCTTTGAATGAGTGTGAGAGAGAAAGAGAGCCTAGCTGCAGGCTTCTCTCTCTTCCGCTGCACTTTTTACCCTTTTCCCTGGTTTCTTTTCCAGTTATCATTGAATCTGTCCATCGTATTTCACATTTTATGCTTTATACACTTTTCTGGCTTCCTTTCACTTGTTGCCTGCTCTAAAACCCATGTTTAGTGTACGGTCCTTTTGCCATCTTCCATCTCCTTTGGTCTATAGTTAAAAAATACTTAAATACTACTTTTTTGGTTCATCTGTACCTGTAAGTTGTGAATAATCACAAAAAAAGTATAGTCCCTTTAATGAATGAATGTGGTCAATATTTTCATCTAACTGTGTGTGCTTGCTATGCAAGAAGTTGTTGCCTATAACCTCAGTAGGTTTCACCAAGTGAAAAAGGAGCATCTTTATTGGTTTGGACAGCCCTGCGTTATATAAACCTTATGTAAGAATGCATCTGTCTCCCAGTACACTAATGTGTGGGTGCCAACCAGACAGCCCTGCAGCCACCATTACAGCCCCTCAAAAACATGGTTTAGGTGGGCAAACAGTATGTACAGTTGTGCAGTGTAAAAATGTCGCTCAACACCATCTGTTTGTGACTATAATGAATATGGCTGAATTTCTCTGTAGTTTTGATGTTCTGTATGTGTTGGTTGAGACTTAGTGTCAGATGGGGAAGGTATACTTGAGGTACAGACACATATAGAGGATGTCTGTCCTTGTGGACTGCATGACTATAGTGCTGTGTGGGGGATCAAACACCCAGCACTGAATCACTCAAAGTTGGAGAAGTTCTATATTCAGGGACTCCAGTTTTACACCAGAGTTGCTATACCTGGATGTAATTAAAAGTTTTATAAACATTGTTCTGTCCTTTCTAAACAAGTTGTTTAACTTTCTCAGAATAAGCATTGTAATTGTTGTAAGAAAATCTCCATATAGTATTGTACTGAATTCATCATACAGTATTGTATTGTTCCCACACATATTGTGTCAGGTTGTGTCAGACTCAAGGTCTTTAAAAAGGATACTGAACATTGACTCAGAGAATCACAGAATAGGACCCTCTTTCAAAATATTTGTCTTGATTCTTACAATTTTACAGCTGTTTCAGTTGTGTTCCATTTCTTGGGTTCTTTTCTTGTATGCAATGTATGCAAGACCTTAATGTGCTTATTGTAAATAAAAGTTGAGACATGTGATGTTTAAATATGTGTTTCTAAAACTGTATATTTTCACTTTCATTTTGTTTTACCATTTTTCTAACTTGACAAAAAACAGCAAATCTTAGTGTTTCCAAGAATCAGGAACAGTTTGTTGTTTGAGCTGTTGATGTTTAAATGCAGCTTGTGTATCTCCTTTTGTCGTTCTTCCTTCAAAACACAAACGTTTGTTTGTTTTAGCTTCTGGATGTCTCAAGGTTCTATAGCTGGTGGGCCCATGCTCAGAGCTCTCGCAGAGCAGCTTCTTGTCTGTTGGAAATGTACCTGCATATCTATGTTTTTATAATAATTGTGTGCAAAGTGTTTTTATTGAGTGTTGTCCTATGGGAAAATTTCATTGGGTGATTATTATTGGTATAAATCCCTCAGTGCTGAGAATATTTTGTGTGATTTATTACATAGAGACCCATTTTTTCTCAGTATACCTTTGCACCTATAATGGCTGTGTCAGAAAGTGCCCATTACTAGCCTGTATTATCAAGCTTGCATGAGTAACTATCCTAAGCATGTGAGGTAAGGCCATGAGCAGAAGGTGAGAAGAGATGATAAATTGCTGGGGCACACTAGCAGAAATGAGTGAAGCCGTATGCAAAGCTGTGGCGTTTTGTTTGATGTGAAACAAAAGGACCACCATGACAAAAGTGGCTGCCAGCTTGCACAGCAGGACAGCAGCCCTCAGGACATACACCAGTGTACCAGTGTACCAGTGCATGTGTGCAGTAGGGCTGCTACGTTCTCACTGCTATGTGTTTGCTGTAATGCATCCCTATCATGCACTGTGCGTTTCCTAACATATCTATACAATGTATATTATCTTCCTTTTTGTTTTCGTGCTTCATTGATAATAACAGACAATGGCTTGCCTTTTGTGCACCGTGAAAAGACATGGTTTCCTCCTCAGCCAAGCTACAGCATATTTGCTCTATTAAACAGCTGAAATATAGACGTCTAATTTCTTTCAGAATGAATAGGCATCTCGAGCACGGCTCTCCTCTTAACATAAGGATGTAAATTGAACTGTTTAAATGTCACGGCTAGCAAGCTGATTTGATTTGAATTGATTTGCTTGTTTCAAGGAAAAAAAAACACCCTCTTTGCCAAACCATAGGTGCGCTGGCTGCCACAGATAGACCAAGGTCTTTCTTTCCACCTCAACAACACATTGTAGGTCTTCTGAATTCTTCTATCTGCTGTGATTATGTACAAATGGCCTTCATTTGCCATCCATTTCAAAGCTGTACTGCTGCATTGTGACTAGAGGCAGATGACGCAGACCAAATTACAGCGGGTTTGCTGCCTGAAAAGGATACTCGCACAATAGGCTTTGTGAAGTATTCCCTTCAATACGTCGCCATTATTCGCACCTTTGTTGGTGTTTCTCTATGTTTCAGGAGCATCTTTGGTCTCTAGATTACATTTTTGGCTGTGAAGAGGAGTGGAGAGGTTCAAAATACTCACCTCTTGTCTCCGCCAGGCTTTGCTCTTTGAAATCAAAGTAATGTATTTATCAGAAAATCTGCTGTAGGCTGAATGAATTAATTGAGTTGTTTTATATATTTTGAACAGATAAACAATTTGCAACTGTGTAGGCCCTGTACTGTATATTAGATAATAATAGAGGCAGTAAGGATTTGTCATCATACAGTATGCACACTCATGTTCTCTTGTGCCTAATCAGCCAAAGGATAATCAGCCTAGACTACTGCTATTGTCACGTCATACTGTGTGTATCTTTGGGAACCCTTGACAGTTTACTCAAGGAAATAGTTCTGTAAAATGTCATTATGAAATCATACAAAATATCAATATATTGCTAGATATATTTTGATTTATTCATACATAAATATAAAGAAGTTCAGCTGTCTGTAGATGTCTTGCACTTAAACTTATGGTACATACTCTTAGATTATCTTCTTATTCAAGTCCAAATAAGTTTGACTAACCACATTTGCTTTAAACAGTAGCTATGGTTACTATATTTTTGTATAATTTAGTGTCTATGGCTGCAAAATTTACCATGACAATGTAATTGACAATCAAATATTGTTTAGGTGAATTTTTACAACCATTCTCATTTCTGTGTACAATAGTTCATATTGTCAG